AAAGGGCTCTTTCATCTTGTATCTCGGTCAGAAAATAGTTTTTATTTATAGATATCGACACAGAGGCAGGAAAGTGAATTAAAAAAAACCGAATACTTGATAATCTTGTGGTATTGCTTTGGAAGCTATTTTCGCTTTATGAAAGAAGTTTGAATAAAATAAAAAAATCTAATCTTCTACCACGCGAGTCTCTGTCCATTCAAAAACACTGTGAGTTTTTTTAAATAGAAGTTTTGATCAGCAGACAGCCAAACTTCTTGTAGCAATAAAATGCCACAAGATTGTTGAGAATTGAAATATAATAAAACTGTAGCTATAGAGGATTGAACGGTAGTTCCTTTAAAGTACTCTAAGGAACCCTATGATGAGAGGAAAACAGCAAGAACTGCTTGATACGCACTACTGTCTTTCATGTCAGCTTCAGTCCTGGATTCCTTCACACTCCTTTTTGTTTTTGAATGAGAAGAATTATAAGATTTGCTATAAGGTGATATCGTGCGTTTAAAACCCCGATTACTTATTGAGTAGGATATATTTTCTTTCTCAGTTGTCTTAGAATGAGAAGGCCTCGTGGAGGCATTTTTCTGATCTTTGGTAGGCTATTTGACTGAAGCGCTAGGAGCTTGAATGTTCTTAGTTATTCCATCAGATACACCCGACTTCTTCGAATCCATATTATTACTGAGTGAATCGGACAAATTGAGTAAACTTTTTTCTAATACTTTTTATATGACCTTGCCCACCATAGCTATAATGAGAGATGCATCCCTAGCAAGAGTCGGATGGGCTATTATGCCGGCGTAGCGCTTATTCCCGCTTGTAATTTTTGCCAGTGCTTTCCTATGATAATATAGTCTCCAATATTGCCTTCTTACAATGATTTCAAGCAAAAGAAGTTGTTTTCATCTTGTAGGGCAGTTAGGATCTTCCGCAGCGTGATTTGCTTTACACAAACAGCATTACTTATTGTCTGACTGGCAATTCGCAGTACTATGGTTGGTCGCTCATATGCGGCATCGAGTGTCCGAACGACACTCATTGGTACCATGACCAAAAATGCTGCTTTTAGCGCAACGCAGCAGATAGGGAGCTATAGCTTCGACGCTATAGATAAGCGGCCACGTCTTGACCACTGAAGGGCGATTCAAATGGGGTGAATACAGTTTGAGAAGGAAACTTCTGATTGCTTACTTGTCTCGTACAGCGGTACAAAAAAATTACCTCTGCAAGAGAACAACTGTGCAAGCTTTCTGCCTAAATTAAACTTGCGTCTACCCCCCCGAATCGAACCTTTGGAGCAAGATAAATGAGGTAGGATAAAAGCTCACCGGATGTGAGGCAAACGTAGTACGCTTCAGTAGGTCTTGAATACAAGCCTTGTCTGGTGAGCAGCATAGTATCTCCCCGTTCTAAATTGACAAGCCTCGCTTATCAGTAGGGAGTGGCGAGTGATTGTACGAAGTTTCATTTGCATTGCTTTGGGATTCCTTGGGATTCTTCAAATTGATGAACCTACCAATGGCCGGCACCAAAGTGGCAGCAGCGCTACAGGTTCCATCGTGAAGAAACAACTTTAAGGGTAGATCCTCAGAGGGAACAGAGCCTCACCAGAAGGAAGCCCTGACTCCTTGAGAATAAACAGACATAAAAAAGGTGAAGTTACATTTAACGGGCCCGTAAACCACCCAGAGGTGGAAACTTAGTAGTGTTGGGTAAATTGTGCCGATTGTACGACATACACGGGGCCGTGAAAATATTTCAAAACGGTGCAGTAATAGCGGAGTTAGACGCGTTTGATTATCGAAACCGCGACGAACACTCTTTTCACTTTTCCTGCGCTCCCCTCCGCTTGTATCCTCTCCCAAAATGCTTTGCCCTCTTGTCGATTGCCTACCCATGCACCTCACATTCTCGCGTGGCATACGTCATCGCTCACGCGTTCCTTGAAACACCCTCTACTTTCGGTTGCCGCGACTCCGTCCATCGACTCCGTCAATTTCGAACTAGCTGTGTGTTTGTTGGCGAACCATGGCTGCCGTAAAGAACTGCAGTGTACGCACGCCTTCAAAAGATTGCCCACACAAAGGACACATGTGGGGGCACGTCGTGCTCCGTACGTGTTGCACGCATGGGGGCAACACGACGAACAACAAGCAGCATGGGCAGCTGCTTGCAGACTGACTTGAAGTCGTAGGCTCTGGCTCGACCAATCGCAGTATATTTGGCTCGGTGTGTCACTTGGAAACCCAAAAGGCCCGGAATGCGATTCTTTTCTGGAATTTGTGGCGAGCCGGCGGCACGTGTCGAATCGCTGATTACGACGGGAGTCTGCACACGATGCGTGCGTTTATTTCAAATGTTTGAAAAAATATTTTAGATGGCTTACGGGCCCTTCAAATTTGCGATCAAAACAGCTGCGGTACAAGAGGTAGATCTTATAAAAGTAATTGCCGGCTACTTAGCTGCAACCCTGTTGATAACAGAAGGCCTGAGACGTCCTCTTCGTAACCCTGTAGAGTGACCAGCACGACCACTGGAATCGGCCGAGCGCCTCATTTTTACGCCTTATGACCGTACGGCAGAAGCTGCATGCGCCTTTCGTTTAGTTACGCTGTGCTTCGCATGATCTCCTTTCCTAGCTCTCTTCAGCCTCAGAGATCGTTACCCTCTATGAACTATGGAAATTCTTGCCAATTGTACCATATATATAGCTATGCGGTGGTCTTCACCGCAAAATCAGTTTTTTTCTGAACTCCATCCTCTCTTTGCCTTTGAAGCAGCGGGGATAAATTTCAAACTGTTGTGTCGTGGCATGCCTCCAACTTTCTCCTGTCTGCGTGCAAAGTGGTTCCGTATTTTGTACCACACGTCAGCACTCCAAGTGGTGCATATTGTTACAAATTGAATGAATACGGAGCGTGATTATTGGTCAAGCTAGCAGAAATAAACGCGAAGAGCGCTAATCTGCTCAGTAATAACTCGTGAAATGTGTCACATACGCGACTGAATAACAGCTAGAAATCTTGGTCGGCTAGAAAAAGGACATGTTAAGTGAATTCGGCATGCTAGAGCCAACCTATAGAAGACTGTTGTTAAAATATTGCGCAATGGTGGCCGATATTTTTGATGCCATGTATGTCCTTTACTGAATAATCGAACTTATGCCTTAGCTAAGATGAAATCATTCGCGGAGCCAGGATTACCAGACGTCAAGTAAGTACGTTGTCACCTCGCATTCTATTTTTACTGCGGGATTCTAGATTTTAGATCTTCAAAAAAACTGAGCTAATTTGGCGACGTAAGGCGGTATTAGACGCGCTTACTGATCGTATGAAGGAAGTCTTTTGGTTTGGTCAGTACAATTGCATGGACGTCGCACTATAGGCAAGGCCACACCCGTAGTGTCGATCAGAAGCCGCGGCAGCAGAAGAGGCCCCAAAGCCTGCTTAGTGCACTATTGGGCTAAAGAGGTCAACATGGAAATTGCAGATTGATAAACGCTTCTCTGCATCCGCTTTTGAGAAGAAAATTATGCGAATTTAAGAAGCTGTATTTGATAATAGGCGCTTGCTGTTCATTATTTACTAGTGCTTGCAGTACAGGCCGGGATTCTTCATGGTCTCTTAGTGCTGAAGATCAAACGGCATGTGCCCCTCTTCACCCTTGACCATGAAAAGCATGTGGTGTTCTGTAATGATTCAACGACGTACATTATGAGAGCGGGGCTTGTCGCACCGGCACGGCGCGAGCATTTAGATTGGGGTGTTTGTCCTGTGAACTTGTCAGCGAATTGGTCCCCTGAACTAAGTATCTGAATATGCAATTTCTATACGCGAACTCTCTGAAAATAGGTCATGATGTCTTAGGGTATTTCTACGTACCATTGCGCAAACGTGTCATAGGTGCAGCAAACTCCAGAACTTGCGTTGCTAGTGGTAGCGACCTTTGGTTCAACCAGAAAAGGGCACCGAGAGTTGGAAGAAAGCAGAAACGTATAAGATACGAAGAGCGGAACGCATGTTCTCGTCACAAGTACAGAGTGTAAAATTGCAAACAAAACTTAGAGTGACTGTCTTCCCAGCGTTGAGATATGGGCGATTGCTCAAAACACAAATTCAGACAATTCTATTGATTTGATCGATATGTGGTGTTCAACGTCACAGAACCACCATATGATTATGAGAGATGCTGTAGTGGAGGGCTGCAGAAATTTCGGCCACCTGCTGTTCTTTAATGTGCACCAAAATCTGAGCACACGAGCCTACAACATTTCCGCCTCCATCGAAAAAGCAGCCGCCGCAGCCGGGATTCAAACCCGCGACCTGCTTGTCAGCAGCTTAGTACCTTAGCCACTAGACCACCACAGCGGAGCTCAGGTAATTCCACAAATGGAACTAATGTTGACTTCGTTCTTTGCTGCGGACCAGCCAAGCCAGCTGTGAGCGCACACGTTGTTTCACCGTCTTTCCTAACGCCTGCTCTTATTCGTGATATCATACGCCTTTCTCTTGCTCGAACCGAATCACGCATATATATATTGGGCCAAACGTACTTGTGAAAAGATGAGACGCAACTTTGTGCTTGTCTTTATTTTATTTCCAACGGTTTCTACCGGTGGACCGGTCTCCGTCCGCGTTTGCGAACATCTATCCTGACGAAGACCAGTCCACCATGTAGTCAAAACCAACCGTTGAAAAGAAAATTCAGACAACCGCAAAGTTGTGTCTCATCTCATCTCTCTCCGTATATATATATATTCCAACAATGGTGGTCTTGTGCCTCAGGCACTCGGCTGCTGACCCGGAGGTAGGCCGCGCGCCCACATTTTGATTCAGAAGAAAATGCTTGAGGCCCGTGTGCTTAGATAGTGGTGCACGTTAGAGCAGCCAAGAAGGTCGAAATTTCCGGAGCCCTCCATTAAGGCGCCTCTCATGACGATATGGTAGTTCTGAGACGTAACCCCTACATATGTGTATACGTTACTCTGTCGTATACTCCAGATGGTGCTTGACGTGCTGAAACGACGTCCCAGCGCCATGCCTCCTGGTATCATAACATGTGTGCCTCAATACATGGGCTATGCCACTCTTCTGGAGGATCAAGGGTTTTGCGTGGTAAGTTTGTTATTGCTGTTCTTTAGAGAGAGGATAACTTGAGAGAAAAGCAGGAAGAGAAACCACTTTTATAGCACCCTGTTTTCTACCCTCCTCTAACGGAAGAGGGAAATGTAGCAATCGTGAGGAAAAAAGGGGGAGGAAAAAGTAGACGCGTGAAAAAGAAAACAGCGGTGGCGATATACCTCTTTAAATAAACCACTACCATGCTAATAGTTCAATGTGACCTTCGATTCATTTTCTTTGTGAAAGGAGGTCGTGTCCGCGTGCGCGCACTCACTGCCTTGACACGGGTCTGTCGTCAAGGCGGGCTATATATCAGAGCAGCTAATGACAGTCAGTGCACGCTGTTGCCTTTGTTTATTTTCGCGAAGCACCCAGAAATGCCAACGCTGGCTTTTCTATTGTTCTTTAATCCAACATAGAAACTTGAAATAACGTTTTACAAGTGCCACGGAACTACTGTTGCTATTTGTAGCAAATACATGCCCACAGTATTAGTCGCGTAACTTTGGTTGAATCATCATGCTCGAAATATCTTTCTGTATAGAATGTACTGCATTGCCCAAAATGTAATTTTTTTGTTCATGCTCGCATTTACATAACAAAAGAGACTGAACCATTGGACTTTAAAACCTATAGGATTACGCAGTTTCAGAAAAAAAATGTCTGTTCCTTTTGTTTCGTTGTGTTCGATACAATACAAAAGCAAGCAATGACGACTATACAAAAATAATTTATATAAATAAAGAACTTATATTTTGTGGGAGTCACGCCTATGGCGCAGTTGTTTCCAGTGAAACACGTGTTACGCATCAGAGATGCGCGTGGAACAATTGGACCGCTCAAAAGAAGTAGCCAACTTGGTGCAGATGACTGAGGCATGAAAAAACGTTTCGTGAAACGGGAACAGTAAAAGAGAAGAAAAAAAACAGCCCCAACTACCAACCGTTTATTAGCAGCCTAAGAAAAACACAGAAAAAAAGACAATTCCGCGGATGCATGCACAGCCAACAAACAACGTATAGCAATATGGTCAAGGCAATAAGGTATTGAAAAACCACATTTCTGTGGGAGACATCATTATAGACATTTCACTCATACATTTAGGTTTTTCTTTTTGGTAAAAAAGCTTCCAAGGCTTTCTAGATGTTTCTTTGCTGGTCTTACTATGACTTAACGTTTGCTCAAAGCATGGCTTACATCCACAGGCTTTATAGTGCGCAGAAAGATGCGCATATCACTTTTTGCTTCAGCAATAGCATGCTCCCTCAATCAGTCAATGACGCAACGTCCCGTTTGACCGATGCGGGCTTGTTGCAGGTTAGGGGTGTCGCGTATACTGTCCTTTGTGCGCATCGCCTAAAAGGTTTAATCAAGGCGCTGCCGCAAGGCTCCTTGAAGCAGCGCGTGGCTCATCGCGTGTGATACGCGGACGCAATTGAGCCAGTATGTTGGAAGCTGAACAAATGACCCTGATGCCGTAACGGGCAGCCACTTTTTTTAGGCTAAGGCTCACGCAGTGCACATGAGAGACCACGTCTACCTTACATAATATTCTTGACTAGGAACAACTTTATGGTCGAAAAAAAAATAATAAAGTGCACATTTCAGTTCTCACATACGCATATCGAGAGGCTTCGCCCAAGGTTTGCCAGTCAGCTTTATGTCTGGTGTTCTCGAAAAAAATAAAGAATAGACTTTTCTGTAATGAAGATCCCTATGCGGGGACAGTGTGTTGAAAACAGTGTTGAGCAGTAGCGCAGATGCATCCACATTAAGTACGTTCTTAGATGTTTTTGTTTAGCTTGTACCTGTACTTTCTAAACATTTGATAATGTATCGTCCATCTAAGATAAACACCATGCAAAACAGTGTAGGTGGCTGAACTGCTTCTCAAGCCCTTGCTACTGCGAAAAAGCCGCCTATATGAGCCAAATGACAGCGACATTTTTTTGTCTTTCTGCAAAGCCCTCCAGTGGTGGCAGGCGATGATGGCTGCACATTCCTATGAGTGGATGAGTGTCAGTGTGGCAACTGGCAGCTACATTTCGCTAAATTGCGGAATCTGAGAGGCTCGAGGCGACCTAAAATTATGAATAGCGACATGGCGAATGTTTGGCGATTTTCGGTTCAGTCGTGAATGAATTAGACATTATATACTCCTTGTTGACAGAATAAATGAGCAACATTTTTTTTCTATTCTATTTGAGAGCCTCTAGTTGAAGCAACACTTTATATGCATATAAGTACGTCGCTCCTATTTCTCTTTTGTATCTCCTCATTTCACCTATAATCTGGAGACAATGGCTTTAGGGTGTGCTGCCAGCAACCTCCGAGCAAAATGTATGTCAGTATACTGCTTCGTGTGCCGTGAAGTGGTGGTGTTATACTATAATTTTTTAGGTGCTTTAAGACTTTTAAGCTTCTTTAAGCTTCGCTTTTGAAGTGGCTAGGTGACACTTAAGCTGCATGTTCCAACCAAAGTTTCAACTGTCCTAAATAGCCTCTCGACTTCATTTGTGCTGCAGTGTGATGTCGTGGTTTCGGTTCCGGTTCTGGAACCGGTTGGCTGGCCCCTAGAGGGCGTTCTACATATGTATATAATAGCATGCTTGTGTACATAAAATAATTCCTGCTTGGCTACCGGCTGCTGTGCACTCAACGCCGTGCCCTGTGTTCTCCATGCGTCACGTCTGATGTACGATACTACAATTTGGCGATGAGGATCTGCAATCCACGAGCATCAGGCAATAAGGTGGGGATCTAGTCTTCTTCCTCGTGCGGTCGACTCAGCACCCACGGAAGCTGTCCCACCAGTACTCTATTTGCTGCATTCATTTCTACTTTTCTTTAATTTCCGTGCCAGTCCGGTCACGAGGCCTTACGACGTGCGCGTGCCTCCTGAGCTGCCTTCTCAACGCTCTTTTCGGCAATCAGGAACAAGGCTGTCCGTCCGCCTCAATTTCTGCAGTGCCCCGGTGTGCCGCCTATTCCATAGAGACAGTGGTGTGCTGTCTTACAGGTTTATATCGACGCCACTGCCAGGGACGCCACGCCAAAGTACAAGAAGGCGCTGCTCATGAACGCCTTAGGCGTCGAAAGTCTCAACACCCACCTGCGTGCCGCCAAAGTAAGCAGCAGCCGGGAGCCGACTGGCCAACTCAAGACACGACGCCAGACGTGTTCGACGCAGCTCTTGCGCTGCTTGATAAACTATTTGACCCTCAACCGGACGCGGCGTATGTGCGCGCCCACTTCAAAGCCCAGACCAGACCAGTCGGCAGTGGAATTAATTCAGGAAGTATGACGGGTAGCCAAGTTTGTGAATTCGGCGTGGCGGGCAATATCCTCACTTTCAACCAGATCATCTCTAACACCGCGTCGCCGCACCTACAAATGTTTCTTTAGAGATGGGCTAGTACTTCACCCTACGATAGGTGCTCAACATATCGAGAGAGGAAGAGCACGTCGACCACGCGTTGCTAAAGTTATCGGGACTCCAAGCCGACGCAGTGTCCTCGCGTCCGATTCAAGATGGCGGCTCAGCTCGCAGAGCGATTCAAGATGCCAGGCCAAATGGCGTCCTTCATCCCCAAGCTTTGGTGGAAGATGGTGCTGGCGGGACTTCTCCTGCGTGCGCATGGAGGAAGGAAACAACTAAGGAGACGCCGTGACGTCACATTTTGTGAAGCTGGAAGTAGGGAAGAGTGGGAGCGCTCCTCCTTGCACGTGTGGGCACGCTCATCACGTTGCTAGGAGACGACATCACGTCGCGCTGACCAGAGCGCATGGACATCGCCAGCTGACCGAGCCGGAAAGCGATACATCTGATTGCATATGCTAAGGAGCTGCGATATCCTCGATAAAACGGGAACCAAGCGTCAGCTTCCACAGGTGAGTGTATTGAGTTTTCTTTATGTTCGACATGCAGTTTGATCGATAGTGTCCTCGCAGAACATAATGCACGATACTGCATGCGTCAGCGTAGTGTTCTTGGGTTTTATTTACAGCTCTTGGAGACAGTTTTTGAAGGCAGTAAAACGCAGCGCAATTAACCACGATGCTGACAACACGGCGCAGCTAGCGCCGAAGTTTCTTCTTTCGTTCGCTTTACTTTGTCCGCGTCGTGATATCATACATGTATTTATATTTATTCAGGACTATTTGTCCATGTGTCATTATTGTCAGGTAATTTGCGTACATTTATAATTGCTTTCGTGCAGGTTTTCTAAACATCCCCGTCGAAGAAAGCTAAGAAGAAGCATGTTGCACCTTCCGATTATCGCTTGCATCTGTGTGTCATAACATTCGCACCATGGAGTTTCATTCAATCGCACCAACGTGGCGACACTTCAGTCAAGCTACAGTGGGGCGGGGCCGACGTTCGGGTAGGACCGCTCCGAAGAGTACTTCGGCCCATATAAAACCACCTCGCACTAAACGTAATGGAATCTGAACACGTCAAGCAGCTTCACAAATCGCCTTCTTGTCTCAATCGCCTTCTTGCGCCGGAGGTGTCGTTCTGTTATCAGAAATGTATCCTTTCATCTCTTAGGAGTGCACCAGCACGGTGTCGATGGAAAACAGCGAGTTTACGGCACGAAGCCTTCTTGAAGAAGCTGTCGCGTGCTTCGAAAACCCATCGCGATGGCACGCTGAATGCTGCGCCCGCAACCGTGACGACATACACTCACTGTAGGATGAACTTCTAAAACCTTACGTCATCCGCGAACACAACGATCTCATAAAAATGCAGATTCACAGACAACAAGCTGATCAAAGGTGTGAATTGCCGACGACGCGAGACGACGGGGCCATGACGGGGCATCAACGTCGTGCCCACATCGCCATAGCAACCATTGCGAAAAAGCAAGTGACTTCCGCCACACTTTTTATGCTGCCGCTTGGATAGCGAGGGCTTCTCCCCAGTTTTCCTGCCTCCATGTGCCTGCGCCTCCTTGCCCTCGGCTGCTGCGGACACCTCCTTTCCAGCTTCG